ATATATATATATGTATATATAGAAATGCATAGAGAATAATTAACTAATATTACTTTTTTTATAAATTTATACACAAGATTTCTGCAATAAAAAAAAGAAAGAAAAATACTAATTTTTTTTCGCACACATATAAATAAGAATATAATCTGCTTTTGCAAAATGTACCTGTAGTTCTTTCCTTACAATCACACTTTGTCATCATTTCTTACTACTTTCTTAATCTACTGTATTATTATTATATAAAAGTCCGTAATATTCGTGATACCATGTCATACAATATCATAATTCACACTGTACGTTAGATTAACCAGGACTTGTGTTTGATAAATCATCATTTGTATATTGTAACACAGTAATCTTTCCAGTCTGAAGTATCAAACATGTAATATATAACTTACATGGATGTTTTTAACAATCCTTTCTTTCCGTTGTTATGTGCGATAAGCGAAGGATATCAAGTAGCTTTTTATAGAATTGCAGAGCATCTCGATACGAGAAGTTGGAACCTATGTATGAGCGTGAATAAAATCAACCTTTCCACGTGCCAATGTAATTTTTGCAGTTTGGACAGAAGTGATGAACACTCATGAAAGCATTCATACAATATGGCAGGCATGAGCAAAGGCAGCATCTGAAAAAAAGAGAATATCTATAATAAATACTATTTATGAGAAAATTTATATAATATCGTTATCGTTTGTTTAACATTTGATTTACATATAATAACGTTACGTGTTACAAAAGCACATTTTTCACGCTATAATATGTAATTATATTTTGTGTGTGAGAAATTATATGTACAAATTACAATAATTCAAATTGCAATAATCAATCTGAGAACAATAATTCTATGTTTCAATAATAAATATTCATAAATAAAGGACATTAAAAAGAGGCCGATTTTTCTTCACAAAGGTATAAGTAAAAAGGATAGTAGTTTTTTATAGATTTTAACCTCCTGTGAATACAATGTTAATAAAAAGTTCGGGATCGAGAGGGAACATCTTGAAAACTAAACATAAACATAATACATTTAAAGAAATTTTAATGTTCTTGTTTATTTTTCAAGGTATTCCCCACATGCCACGAACTTTTTAATAATTTTATCTTCAATATCTTATATCCAAGAGATCAAAATCTGCAAAAAAACTATTTCTTTTACTTACATCTTTTTGTGGGCAAAAATCTGCCTTTTTTTTGGAGGATATTAAAAAAGGATTCATTTTTGCCTAAAAGAACATAAATAAAAGAAATTATTGAAATTTCTTTAAAATACGTATCATGTTCATGCTCAATTTTCAAAGTGTTTCCTATCGATTTCGAACTTTTTTTATTAACGTTATCGTATTCAGGTCAAAATTTATTTTAAAAAAACACTATTCCTTATATTTATATCTTTGTGGGCAAAAATCGGCTTTTTAATATCTTCCTTTAGATTTCTATTGCTAAATAATTAAAATTAATAAATTCAAAAGAAAAATATATAAATATACATCATAATCGGAGGAACAAAAAACTTCGTTAAATATAATCGATATATATATATTTATGCAGTAAGCGTAAATTATAAATACATACAAAGTAATTCATCACTTACCCAAGTAAGCAGAGTATGACACAGCAAATGTGAGCACTTGGCTGATGATCCGATATTGTAGTAGTTTTGATATCGGCGTGACATGTTGGACAGGACATTTTCACTGCATTCGGCCCTAGGGCGAGCACTACATGTTGTTGAATGACCCGTACTTGTGTCCGCGGTACGGAATTCGGTTCGGCATTGAAATGTGGTTGCGATGTTGATCGACTTGAACCCGGATAAACTGATGGCATAGGCATTGTCGTTTGATTTGGTGGTTGATTGTCTGAAATTATATAAGATTTACTATCTATCTTACACATCTTCTTTATCATTAATTAAAAAGAATTGACATTAAAAATTTCTATATAAAAGAAATAGATAAAAAATGTATGCTAACAATTGAGTCACAAATTTACAAATAAGAAATAAATTAATTTATTTCAGAAATAAATTAATTTAATTTAATTTTAATTTTAATGAATGTTAGTTCAACATCTTAACACTCGGAACTGTAAGAGCGCTTCGTATTTAACGTTTAGATATTTTTTAATTTTACTATATAAGACTTGGAAATTAAAAATTTCACATTTCAATTTAATTTTATACTATAAAAAAGTTTCAAATCCACTTTGTATCAAGATATCACATACATGGCATGGGCATTTGTATTGGCGCATTTCCTGGAGGATACGGTGTGGGAATAACTGGAGGGTACGTAGGTGCTGCTCCTGTGTTAGCTATGGCTTCCTCGTAAGACGGCGGAGCGGTTGGCAGAGGGGCCGAAGGTTGTACGTTAGTAAAACCCAAGTTCTTCTCCATTTTCTCCTAAAAAAGAACTGAATCCAAAGTTCTGAATCCAAAACAATTATGTCCAAAATGATAATATAGATTAAAATACTAAAAATATATAAACTATTATTTTCAGGTCATAAAAATAAAAAGAATTTCGAATTTTTCATGAGTATATTTTCTCATGAACGTTGTCTTTTAACGTTGTCTCTTTTTAAGTGTTGTCTCTTTTTAAGTTGTTGTCTAGTTTATATAAATATAAATAACAATCTCTCTATTTATTACTAGGCAAATATATATCACGTAATTAAAAAATGTGATATAAAAATAAATAATATAGCTCGGTATTTACATAAATAAATAATTTTATAATGTTATGATTCATATAATTATAATAAATAGAGAAATCAAGAGAATTCATTTCAGGAATTTTTACATGCATCGAGGAAATAATATTAAATAATAGCATATTTTATTTATCATTTATTAAATATCTTTATGTTTACAATAAAATGCCACGAAAGTAAAAAAATATACAATTTATTATGACTTTATCTATAAAAAAAAAAACAAATAAAAGATTATCAAATGTGACTGCCGCCCGTAATTTTTTATAATACACATTAAAATACATTTCCTTTTTTCGCCGCACATAACATTAACGTTGATGCATTCAGATAATTTTCTCGGAAAATTTATAAATAGCTATAGAGATAATATACATATTTCGTAGTATTTTATCATCGATCCTGTGCAGGGCATTCATGCACAAGATCGTAACACAACAATATAACAAGGTCAAATCATAATGAATCAAGGCACGCTTATATATAATTATTGCTAAGTATTATGCTGTTATTATGCTGCTATGAAATGCTATGAAATTTATTATCGAAGACTAACAAATCTTTTCGCGGAATATTTGTAATGTTAAATATCTTAAACATAAAAAAAAAATTATGTTCTTATTACTTAATTGTACTTCTTCTTCCTCTTACATTAGGCCTCTCGCCTGTGTTACACACCTCTCTCATATGCTTATGGTGCGCACGTTAATGATTCAATTGCCACAAACATACGGGATCTACAATTTTAATGCAATTCTAAATGATAGATTTTTTTTGTGAGCAAAGATACTCTCGGAAGATTACCGACCTTTTTCGAAAGGAGACACGAGCGTAAATATTTTGATTCCTACCAGGATCGAATCCGGGACCACTAATATGATAGATTAGTGTGCTGTCTGCCATGCCACGCTCGCGCTAGCCATTTAATTTTACATCACAAAATCTAAATTTCAATGAACCTTAAAATCTAAACATTATTGTCTAATAAGGAATGAAAATCGCGCTTTTAAAAACGTCTTTGTTCGAAGATAATAGCTACTAGTAATTAAGTATCTTTGAGAAAAAAAAAAAGATTCCGCATCTTTTAACAAGAAGAAAGTAAAGTTGCAGCAATTTGACACAATCGTCTGCAAATACAAGTACAGGAGATTCTTGATATTTTCATTTCAAGATCCAGTGGGATTTAAAAAGATATATTACATCAAGAAACTATCTGCGTAATGCATACGAAAAGGTCTGGGAATCGCGGCATGTAATGAGACTCGCAATAACATCTAAATGTAAATAACGAACGGGTACACACACATTTGTGCTGGCGCGCGAATAGAAAGTTGGGCGGATGTTAAGTAATAGAGACACGGTATATATATTTGCCAGCGGAGTCGCACGTAGAAAGCTTAAAATCCCGAACGCATACTGGTACCTCGTAATACTTTGGATGGTTTTTATTATGATATCTTATTTCAAAGCTGATACGTTACTCAAAACCGTGAATGTATTTACGCTGCTGTGCTCGAATAAACATGATTCGTATGTTACATTAATGATATGATAAGCACTGTACATAACGTGTCTCAGAGATTTCCCACCATTTTAGCTGTAAATTTTTAACTTTAGAATAATCATTGACCAAAGTAAATATTTTAACATTTATAAATGCGATACATATTTATAATTAAATTATTTGTAATTAAAGTCAATATTTTAACAGCTAGACATGCGATACATTTAAGATATATATTATTAAATCGAATAACGCTTATGGCAAAGCTTCATAAAGCTTTCTTATATTTGTATTTATTTATTTATTTATGTATAATTATTTCAGAAATTAATTATCTTAAGAGAAACTCTGTTACAAAAGAATACTTGCTTTTTTTCGCGTATTGTATTATTATCGAGCAAAATGTATTGTTTTAATCTCCATTTCCGTGTTATTAATGCTTCCGGCAGGAAAATCATGTAAGTCTATTAGGGAATATAAAATCGGATCTTAAAAGAAGCTTCCATGAAATCATGTTTTTAATTGACAACAGATACAAAGGTACTAAGCCCGTTGTATGAATTTCCTTTCGCTGAAATGATTCCGCGTCGTGATTTCCCCGTAGCTTCTACGATCACACGCTCGGTTCTGTGATCGGATAAGAATAAAACAATAAACTATGAACAATGCGAATATAACGGAATGAATGCTCCCAGTATTTGTTTTAAAATAAGATAATAACGCAAAGTCATATTAACGTTATTATACGATTTATCTGTTTAAATGTCCTTGCAATTGATTTATTTTTACATATTTTCGCCATAAAATTCTATAAAATTATTTACACTATATGTAAATTCTTTTATTCCCAAATTTTCTTTTAAATAATTTCTTGTAAAAATTATGATATTTGTCTTACATTTGGAGTATATAAACAAACATGTAATGTGTTTAATATTTTTGTAAAATTATTCTTCTCTCTCTTTCTCTCTCTCTCTCTCTCTCTCTCACACACACACACACACACACACACACACACACACACACACACACACACACACATTTCCCTTTTATGATTTTTAGAAAACTTTCCTTTAAATTAAATTTTTGTAACTTTTTACAATGTCTGTATTATACATGGAATATTCAAGGATATAAAGCACAAGCGTAACATGGGAAGCTTACCAACAAGCTATGCGATATAACATCACCCTCTTTCTGTTTAACATTGCCGAACAATAACGATTCACTTGAGCTTCACCATGTTACACCATGTCATCTGTCTCTCGTTGGCTGCCATGGTGGACAGCACGCGAGTCTACTTGAGGTCTGTTCGCGTTGCTTACACTCAGAACATCTTCGTTTTCTCCTCTTTTCAACGCCCAAATATGTATCTATCTCATTTTAAGTTCAAAAATTTTTGGAGATTTCAAGCAACGCGAACAGATCTCTGATCTATGCTAGGGAACTCGAATTCGATTCCCAGCAGATCCCAGAAGAAATTTTTACGCGCTCGTAGCTCTTCTTCGACGATATGGCAAACCACCAAAACTATGTTCAGATTACCATGAGTGCCACCCAGATATCACTTGTTATTTACCAAACGTTAAATAAGGATGACATGATACTCGAGAAGTACCCGGGTGAGAATTCGAACACGTCCCAAGAGTTATCTATTGCCAAGAAAACCTCTCAAACTGCTGTTGGAAACCAGCGTTAAATTGTAGGTCCCATATGTCTAATGTGTCCGGTGAATATACCTAATATTCGAATAAATGAATAAAAAAAAAATGAATAAAAACACACATTCGAATACTTCTTTTTTATTCGCCAAAAAACGAATAAATATTTTTTCATTCCATTTGAATGAATATTTCTTGAATATGATTACGAATGTTTTCGTTTCGTATTCACTTTTACTTTGTATTATCTGCACATAGCTTGCAAGCTTGCAAGAGAAAATAGAAATCTATAAAAACAATAGCGATGACACTACGATAACGATTTGCTTCGATAATTCGCGACCTATACAATGGGCATCCTTATTCAATCTATAGGTTAAACAAAGACTTTTTTATTAGGAATAAATAATATATCTCCACCGACTTTAATGTCCACAGACCATAAACGACGCGCCCAAGATATCTTATAAAATATTTATAACATTACTGTGACGTAATCGGAATTATATTGGAATGTGTATGACGCTCTATCAAATAGATATTTATAAATAAAAAAATGTATTGCTTTCTAAAATATACTTTTCAAAATTTCTAAGTTTTCTTCATAAAATCTGAATATTACAATGACAAAAATAAATAAAATTCCTTTTTTTTTACTTAAAGTCATCAAAACGCTGGTTATATAGTTAAGGAGTAACGATTGCTTTTGGAACTTTTTTTTCAGTTTATATTTTGTTTGAATGAATATAAATACGTTAAATATTCATAGGATTTTTGTGAACAAATACTTTTTAAAAAAACCAAAATTTTAAATATATACAATTTTTGGAGCACAATTTTTAATTACATTTTTTTTATGTGAAAATTTTGAATAAATACAATTTTTGAAGCACAATTTTTCATCAGGCACGCTTAATTGACACTACATATATCTTTATACAACCTACGTGTGCAAGTATACGTTTGAGAAGTAGACTTTGAGATGTTATTTCGCCATTGAAATGATATTCAGAAGTATACCTGGCAAACATGCAACGTGTGCATAGCAGACGGTCAAAGCCGGAGGCGATCGAAATCGAGATTTATCGAATTATGCTTGAACATATTACGATAAAATCGCAGCTTCCTGAATATTATACACAGCGTCTTAAAATTCCTCCCCTCTATTGTTCGTTTCTACCAATATAAATTAATTTCAATCTTTTAGCTTACTCTTTATCTTTTTCTATATTCCTAATGGGAATGTAGAAAATAAAAACTTTCTACAATAAACTATTGCCTAAGTTTCAAGTCTTAAGCCGTAAATAACCAATCATATAGTCGATTATTCTTCTCACATTCGACTGTGTGGTTGATCAATTTCTTATGGTTTAAAACTTAGGTAATGATTTATTATAGAAAGTTTGTAAGAATTAAAACTGGAAAAAAGCACATAATTCATATCTAAGGCGATTCCTTTTGTGTCTACCTTTTTTTTAATTGGTTCCTGGATACAAATAATTACATATACACTTCTAGGACATCAAAATTATTTTTGCACGCTGCCGATTAACTCTTTTTATATCCTCTGACTTTTGTATTATATAAAATACTCCAAGTAAAATACTCCAAAACAATTATCTTTAAAAAGTTTAAATAAAAAATATATATACGTGTTATTAATAATTTTGTAGTGTTAAATTAAATTTAATAAGCTTATACTTTGGCTACATTTGGGAAATATGCTGTCAATGCAATTGCGTCATTCTATCTTCATTCTTATCACTCGCTAGAAAATAAGCGACGATAAAATGGCGTAAAATAGCTGACATTCTTCGAACGCAGCAATATATAACCTAAACTTGTTTCAATTTAATTTTTTTTCTTTATAAAACTCTACAAAAATCACTAATAATATGAAATAAAGTGGGAATATAAAGAAAATAAAATGCTTATAAATACCAACACCAGTTTTTCGTGTATAAATTTTTGTTAACTAAATCAATGTAAACGTTTTGAGCCACTTTCAGTACAATAATCGCATATTCTAAATTCTAAATTATAAATTCGCGCATTATGGCAATCACTTAGATCACATATCATCATGTAAATCAAATAATGCAACCAAAGCCAGATCTGTCAGATAATTTAAATTATAGAGATCCAGGAGAAATTCGCAAATAGATATATTTTTTTATGTCATTCATGAGGAAGTTTAGAAAAATATTCAATCTTATATATAAATATACTGGATCTTTATGATTTGAATTATCTGACTTTGTTTACACAGTTTGATTTTCACGATATATCATCTAAGCGACTACCAACTATCACGACATACGCGAATTTATAATTTTGAATATATTATTGTACTATTATCGTACTGAAAATGAATCAAAACCATGAAAGTCAAAAGATTTCCTAAATTAACAACATATTTAGACAGAGCAATTAGAAGTCAACATAAGTAATAAGAAATATTCTATTCTAATAATCTATAGGCCTATTCCTAGAATATGTATGTTATAAGCTAAACTTTTGCACCAGGTGATCTTTCTTCCTTTTCTCTTCAAGAGAAAAAAGAAAAAGAAGAAAGATGAACTAATACAAAAGTTCAGCCAAAAAGAACAGGCCTTATGTCATATTCCAATAACACCTGATAATCTATATCTATGTCATATTCTAATAAAACCAGATATATCAGGTTTTATCAGATTGTGTGACATAAATTATTGAAATAGGATATCTCGAGGGATATATCTCTTATTATATTAGATTGATATATTAAATTGATATCTAAATATATTGTTAATTTATTATATGAAATTATGAGGAGTTCTCACTAATTCTTATGTATAATACATCATTCTTAAGTTATCGGAAGATTTACATTAATTTAGTTAATTAATTAAAATATGTATACGTATGAAAAACTAGTGTTGGTCTTACTTACAATTAGTCTTATAGGTCTTTCATCTCTTTGATCAATAATATACATATACGTTTTATTTAATTTCCTTTTAAATAACTTTTACGAAAATTTTATGATATTTGCATTATGCTCGGAATATTTTAAATATATAATATGCCTATAAATAATACAGATGTGTGTTATAAGACGCTATTAATTTAAAAGAAAATTTGATAAAAGTCATAAAAGGAATAAAGAAGATAAGAATAATTTATATAAAAGTATTAATGACTTATACTCATCCGTTCTGATCTCGTAAACGGTTATCTGGTTTCCCAACGTGAGTCATCGAGATTTTACAATAAAAACTAAAAGTTTAAAAGCTACAAATCTAAATATTTCAATAAAAGTTGAAAATGTTTTTCAACTTTTCGATTTCTTTTTTCCTTATAAAATTCAACCAAATCATTAACAGCAAAAAATATATATTATGTAACAATTATATATTCAAGATAAATGTTGACCGAAAACAAAATTTAACCTTCGCAACAGACAGATAAAATTCCAATTACGAGCATGTGCCGATAAATATTCGTATATAATTCACATATATACGTGCGGCACAAAGACGACACATGCAATTCCTATTCTTATATAATTTATACGAAACAGGAATAATAGGATGTCATTCACGATTAACGCACGAACTCGTGCGTGTCGTGATCGTGATGTTAAACATCGCGGACAAGGTGAGCGACGTTGAGAAAAGGAAACACAGAAAAAAAAAGTCCATCGCGATGAAACGCTTCGTCGAGCTGGTCGATCTCGTAGGAAGAATGTGCAGACGATGCAGAAATGTGTTACTCACCGTGTGTCCTGCAGGCGAATTAAGCAACTGTCTTGACGTAATCGTCGAAACAAATTAGGTTATCGTCTCCTCGACTCGATTGGAGCTCGTCAAATGCGATGACCTGGCGACACTGCGCCGGCGATGGGACACAAGTTAGAGCGTCGCGAAAAATTGTCGAGGGCACGTCACTGCGACTCGCGGCCTTTTACCGTTTACGTGCAGTGCGTGATTCCTCGCGTAACGAAGAACGAGAGCGAAAGGAAAACGCACAACGGAGTACACTGTACACTGCTGACTGCAGTATTATGTACACGAACAAAAGCCGTCACCTTCTTCCGCGATCGGAACGAAACGACGACCAAGTGAGAAACTGATCTCTCGCGGACGTCGAAAGACTTTCAAGCTTTCTATCTTTCGGTAATTCCACGTATTTACCTGCAATCGATGCGCAAATACCGACTGTGATAATAATCGAGATACCAACTGTGGTACCTCCTCCATCATAGTGGCTCCCTCTATGGTTTCCTTCACCATGAATAATGGGAGTGACTCATCTTTCTTCTTTCCGCCATGATGGTAACCATGGCGACCGTTAGTAAACATGTTGCGAAATGTGGAGCGCATTTCGGGTCGTTTGGACTAGACAGTCATAAAAATGTTTAAACAGCAAAACTGTTGCGTTATGCTGAACGCAAAAAAGTAGTCGACGTTACTCATTGAATAAGGATAGTGTCTATTGAGCGCTTCCTGTCCAATGGCTCCTGTTAACTGATATTATAATCGATGATATATATAACTGATAATATATATAAGCAGTATAAACTGCTGTTTTCAACATAAGTAAGTCTGGTAAGTCAATTCTATTAACTAGGATTACGAGTATTATTTGCAATTGGCTTTGTTCCCATATTCACTACTATATTCAATGCTGATCGAGTACAAATGGCGTACTATAGATGTTCAGTATTGGCAGCATATTCAGCAGTGAATATCGCAACACAATAATACTATTATCTTAATTGTCTAAAGTATTATTTATTAGTATTATTTTAAGCAATTGGTAGTATTATATTACAAATTTACAGATAAACTAGATTCAACTCAATAAGCTTTTGTACTTACTGATTAATCAGTTTATTTACTATTTACATTATTTTTTACTTTTTTTTTTTTGGTAGACAATGGACAATATTCATGGCTGTCAAATGAATACTATTCAAGTCTGTTTTTTAAGGAGAGAAGTCTGTTTTTTCAGACTTTTTTTTTATGAGAGATCACTTGTGTAAAAGCATACTATTACCAGATCTACTATGCTGAAACACAGTTTTGTATTATTTTGTATCTGAGCCTGTTGAAACTATTGAATAAAGATTTTGATGATTAAACCATGTTAACCTGTTCTAACTTACCAGGAAGGGACAGGAAGCACTTTATTCACCAGTATCAGACTATTGATCTTCTACCTCAGAGGATCCAAAATGTTCATCTACATTCTATTCTTATATAGGAATCATATCGAAAACAAGTGCTTTTGGAAACTGAAGAATTATTTGCATTACTAATTTGATTTCCGAATTCAATGAAGACAATTTTGATAATAAATTCTATTTAAAGGCGAAGAATTAAAGAAAATTATGATTATAATTAAAGAAAAATTTTAAAAAATTATGCAATTTGCTAATCTTAATTAAAATCATAAATCAATTAACACAGATATAATACAACTTTAACAATTAATTCAAATAATTGCTTAAATACAAAATGATAGACATCACGTGGCTGATAATTGAACTAAAATTACACTTGCCAGCGCTATACAGGGTGGGGCAAAAGTCCCGCTACGATTGCAAAATTGCACGTCTACACAACACAACGATTAAAGCTAAACTGAGCTATACGTCACATAAAAAAATCAAAATGGTAGCGGGACTTTTGCCCCACCCTATACTTATGTACCAAAATCACACGTGCATAGGATATGCAACATCATTTCATCCTTCTTGTCATCAAACGTTAAACAAGGATGAAATGATATAATGATGCATACATCGCAAAGGTATGTTAAGTGGAATATACTCCTAGTGCATATAGAACAAAAAATAGGTTTGAATGTGGTAATTTTATTATTAAAATATTAATATACAATAAAATACACAGAGATACATGAGTAATACACTTCCATACTACAAGTTTGGCAGTAAATACTGAATAAGTACAATTAACATTACAATGAAATATTTAATACATGTAATAGTAGGCAAGGTAGATACACTACACGAATCTGGATGCAATCGCTCTTAGTTTAGTATAATCTCCTTTGCTGTGAATCTGTTCTTTCATTTCTGTTCGGAGTATATGTGGAATAGACACCTGTATTTTTGTACTGTATACTAGAGGTATGCCGTTATCTACGAGTACCAGATTGTTGCTATCAAACTTGGGAACTTTAGGGATCTGTTGGTGTTTCAATCCAACTAATATACTCTTTTTTTTCACCTCTTATT